AAAACATTGTAAACATAGTTGTAATTTTAAGGTAGAGTATAAAATTTTTGAAAATACCAACAAAAATATAACTTACATCACACAGAGTGTAGTGAAAGATGCGTAGTGGAAGAAGCATGATGTGTTAATTGCCTCATCCTTCATATCATGGATGTCAAGAAACCCTGTCTACTTTTGACCTCTTGGGGGCAGGATCGTAGCTGTGGTTACAGATTCATTGGCCATTGGCAGAGAGATGCTGAAGAAATAAGTATGTTTTAGTCTAATATAGCTTCTCAACCTGGACACTGCTAACACCTGGGTCAGATAACTGTTGTAGGGCTGTCCTGTGCATTGTGGGGTGTTTAACAGCATCCCTTGCCTCTGTCTGCTATCTGATTGTGACAACCAAAATGTCTTCAGGCTATGACAAATGTCCACTGGCAGGTTTGGGGGCATTTGGAGGGTGGGGCTGTGTTCTGGAATCACCCTGATTGTGCACCGCTGGCCTCATCCTATGCTGATCTCTAGCCCACAGGACACAGTAGAGCAGATGCAGCACTTCCATCTCATTGGGAGCTTCAGCAGCTACCCAAGCACACAGCTTCTTTTGGCCTCTCACCCATATGGGGTGCTTGTAGCTAACAAAGATGAGGGTCAAAGTATGTGGGGGGATCCCCTTGATTCACAGAAGCTACCCCCATTCTTTTGCAAATCTGTAATGACTCCCTAGTCCCAGAGGCCCAAGGCCTGCATTCCACACAGTCCAAATTCCACACAGCCAGTGAGGCCAACCCACCACTCCCGTTTTCCCTCAGTCCTTTCAAGGACATGGAGCAGTGGAAGGCCAAGGTCAGTGTCAGGATGGCCTCCAGCATCCAAGGCTCATGTTAACCCTCTGCTCACAAGAGGAAGATAGGAATGATTGCATTATTTAGTGTTATATGAATGTATATGTATTTCAAAAAAATTTGAAGAAACAATTTAAAACTTTACCAAACTAAGATACATAGTGATCTTCATAATTATTAAAACCAGAAACTGTGGGAGTTAGGGACTTTCAGTCTTTATTTTATGCACTATTCTACCATCTGATTTTTTTTTAAATATATTTTTATTGATTTCAGAGAGAGGAAGGGAGAGGGAGAGAGTGATAGAAACGTCAATGATGAGAGAGTCATTGATTGGCTGCCTCCTGCACAACCTACTGGGAATCGAGCCCGAAACCCGGGCATGTGCCCTGACTGGGAATGGAACCATGACGCCCTGGTTCATAGGTCAACGCTCAACAACTGAGCCATGCCGGCTGGGCTACCATTTGATTTTTTAAAGAACTATGTACCTTTATTGAAGAAAGTTGTAACAAAACTGGTTTTATTACAAATAAAATGACAATAGGATCAGTTTTTTTAATGTCACATGACTAGGCTTTTCTTCCTGTATCCCATTATGTTTTCTGTTTTGAGAGGAATCACGAAAAACTACCTTTGTTTTGTATCAGTGCTATTTCCTCCTTTAAAACGTGCTGCAAATGGATAAGGCCCCTGCTTTCTCTAACGTGTTGGGTGTCCTGCCTTGGTATCTCCCAGACTGTGCTATTTGGAGTTCTAGGCCATTGGAAACATTGGGTTGAGCATATAGTTGATTCTAAAGTAAACTATCAAGTTTGGACTGAATGATTAGCTCCTTGACTATACTTGTACACCTGAATATACATCTTCTGTAAGCACTTGCTCATACATTAGTGACTGTCAGACACCTATTAGGTTTGTCACTCAGTGTATTTAGATATAGAAGTGAATGGGCCAGTCAAGAAATTGGCAAGGCTCTCTGAGCATGTCATATCAGAAATTATGGTCTTCGTCATTGGAGCTCTCATATGGTAGGGACAGGTTAAGAAAGGCTTGGGGAAGGAAGGGAGAAACAGACTGGATCTTGAAAAGGGGAACTGGGTTTGATTAAACTAAAAAAAGGGCATCCAGTGATAGAGGGACCTAATGATTATGTTGAACTTGGCTGGGGCAGATCCAAGTTGAGGTTTACACAGTCTTGGTGCTCTCAATAAGAAAAAGAATAATACAGAGATATTTTTAAAGTGTCACAAAAACATAGGCCCTTGTGCATACATTGCCAGGGCCCTTTCTGCGCAAACAAGGGCATCAGCTGCTTTTGTTTTGCTGAAAATCCACCTCCATGTTTGGTGGAGGGGATCAGGCGGCCTGTCTGTACCAGGAGTTGGTATGCGGGGTGAAGAAAGGTCACAGGGCCTGAGGTAGTTTTCCCTTGGCCTCTGGGGAGATCACAGACTATAATGGGGGCAGGGGTGTGGCAGGGAGATAGGCATTCCACAAATATCTTCTGGAGTGTTTCCATGGCCCAGACTCGGGGCTGTGCTCATAAATAAAGCAGACCGGTCCCTTCTTCAGAGAGCATGGAGCCCAGACATGGTGCTGTTTGAGGAGAGAGCAAAATTTGGGAGAAAGTGGGGACCGGGTTTGACTATGATACTTTCCCTTTCTAGCTGGGTGTGACCTCAGTCAGGGACACTACTTCACCTCAAGAGGAAGCCACTTAGCTCATGTCAAAATGAGGACTGGCACATGGGCCTGATGTGACATTCATACACGATGCCATACAAGGCCTGGCCCATGGCAGGCTGCCACTGTTTTCTTTCTTTTCCATCTGTGTTTAGCACTGACAGCCTATGCGACAAGCCAAAGAGTGACCACAGTGTCGTAATTTGCAGGACCATAAGCAGGGTGAGGGCAGTTATTAGTAGCTGAAAATATCTTACCGGCTCATCTATCTTTCATAATTAAAATGTAAGTTCCAGGATGAACAGGCCCTTCCTTGTTTCCTTTATTGCTGTATCTGCAACACCTACGATAGTGCCTGATATGTTGGTGACACTTAGTAAATGTCTGTTGAATGAATGAATAAAAGAAACATGCTTGGTATTTTTATAGTTTCAGTTCAGTTATTTCAGGCTCCTTTTCCTTGCAGATTGCTGCCTGTGCTAGTTTTTCTCCATCTCAGCTATATTGACATTTTGGGCCACATAATTCTTTTTTTAAAAAAAATATATCTTTATTGAGTTCAGAGAGAGGAGGGGAGAGGGGGAGAGAGGGAGAAACATCAATGATGAGAGTCACTGATGGGCTGCCTCCTGCGCGCCCCCACTGGGCATGGAGCCCGCAGCCGGGGCACGTGCCCTGCCCGGGAATCGGACCGAGC